AAACAATTATTTGATAATTTATATTATTCAGATGAACATTTTTTTCAAACAATTTATGATGAAAATTTATATTTAAAAGATAATGTTAAAGAAAAACAAATTCAATTAAATATTCCACAAAAACAAGTTTTACTTTATAGAAGAAAATTATTAGATGAAAAAAGAAAATTATATTTATATGATGATCTTATTAAAAAATATAAAATCTTTCAACAATATCAATCAAATATTTTTGAAAAATTTAGAGAATGGGATTATAAACAAATTGCATTAAGATGTGCTAGAGTGAGTAGGACAAATTTTATTTACTTTGCAAATATTTTTTTAAACTCTTCAATTTTCAATATTTTATACGAGTTATCAGATATTACTCAGGCTTACTGAGATTTTAAAATTATTTTGATATGTTTTTGAAAATTCTTTCAATTTGTTTCGTTTGACATAAAAAAAATGTCAAAAATTTTCTTTCATATGTATTCTATCAATCATAATAGAATGGACAAAACTTATTCAAGGACTGGTTTTTTTTCTCCAATATCTATATTTATTCAGTTCATTGAATCTTATTATTTTCTATGTAAACCTTTCTCATAGGATTTTCAGTATATATATTATATATTATATATGAAAAATATGATTCAATTATTTATTGAAAGAGTAACATGTCGCTTATTCTTCATATTTACTAATATAAGATCTTCGATACAAATATCTATGTTCATGTTTCTATTAGCATAGTGATTTATCTGAGAAAGACAAAAAAGAATCATTAAATAAATGAAGTTTTAATAATTAAAGATCGTTTTATAAACAAAGTAATACTACGATATTTTACATGTCATGATTCGAAGATCATTTGAGTGAAAGTTAAAATGATCTATTTGGTTAACCTTTCACTATGAGAACCACCTGTAGAGCTTGTCGCATCCAAAATTTTCGAACATGAACAGGAGGTTTAGAATCAATCCGATGGACTCTTATAACGAGTCTATATTGAAATAAAACACGATTACAATGTTGAAATTTCGAAGTATAAAAAATTGTAATGATGTTTTTGATATTTGTTCATTTAATCTTTATTTTATTGTAGGAAGGACATTTGAAAGGCTTAAGACTTGTATTAGAACGTGCAATACCATCAATATTATTAATTGATCTTTTGTCAATATTAAATGAAATTTGTGAAACAGTTCCATTGACTGAATATGAAGATTTAATTCCAAAGTTTTCTTTAATTGAACAAAAAGAATTTGATCGAAAAGAAAATGATTGGAGTGATGAATTTATTTCTTCAAATGAAGAAACTAAAGAAGAAATTAATCGATCATTATTTATTGATTGGTATAAAAAAAAAATTCTTTCATTCGAATCATTTGGTCTTATTGAAAATGCTCTTCAATTATGTAAACATTCTTTAGATATTTAAGATTTCAATAAATTTTTTTCATTTTATATGAATCGTTATCTTTAATATTT